TAATGTCACTGGAATATGATCGTCTAGCATTATTATCATTAATCTTGTTTAATTATTTTATAAATTAATGTATTTGATCACGAAACGATTTCGGCTAGATAATTATTCATCTATCTATTAAGAATTAGTTTATAGAGATTATGAATCGATTGATGTTAGATTACCATTAAAAACATGGAAACACTGGATGGCCGTCTCGTCCTAGTATGGGATTTCTCAGTATTATGCACTCATGATCCCGAATGTGGGGTTCGAACCGAGAACCGTGGTTTCACGCGAAAATGCTTAACTTCAAGATCACTGAGCTAGCCGGCATCCGATGATGTTAATGTCTAACTTCAAGCAATCCACGAAGTCGCATGACCGTCTTCCATTGTCTGAGATAGATACCTGAGTCTACCTGACTTGGATTAACTCCACTGGTCACGGCTTCTCAATAGATTTTCGAGAATTCCCTCATGATGCTAGTCACTAATGAGCACATGGTGATTATCAGCATGAGGTTGTGGAGATAGTTGAATTTTTGATTGAGATCAATTGATTGATTGAAGTTAGATAATAACAGCGCTAAATATCGACTCAGTTGTCTAGAGTTTAAGCATGTGCACGCAAAACCGAAGGTCTTAGGTTTGGATACCGAGAACAAGATCGCGAGGGCGCAATGTTGAAGAGTTCCATGTTACGACGAAATGCCGTCTAGTGCTTCCAGGTTTTCAATGGTGGCTAACATCACTTGATTCCTGATCTCAATCAAAAACTTAACAGTCTCCACAACCTCATACTGATAATTAGCTTAGAGAATAATTTCAAATGTTCTCCTGAGAAGTCATAAATTTTAGTATTCAACTATGTTGGAAGTGATGTAATTATCACTGATGACAAAGGTTAATCATAATTTACAATGCATCATGAAATTGGTTGAAATTCCGAATCTGTACCATTGGTTCCTAATTTAATGGGTTTAAAGGTAGGGTTAACACTAAGAAATTTTATGATTCGATGACTGGTTGAGCTGTCCGTATGAAAAATGAGATCAGTACAGATGTTCACTATTCCATGTTTCTAATTGTTCTTTATGGGAAATTATTTTACAACAAAGTAAACTGAACTGATTTCTATAATCAGTCAATTAAAGAATGGAACATCTATTAACTATCTTATATTTGTCATCTAGATAATCTCGTCAAAGCAGAGGACCTCTACTTGACTGTTTCATGATAACTTTCGTCTATTACAAGATTTGCTTTCGTTACTTAATAAAGCTAGATATTAATTCTATCGGGTGTGCAACGTTGTGGAGTTTTAAGTGCACAAGGGAGCTCTTTTGACGGAAGCGATATTAAACATATAATGGAATGGTACTAGACCATTGAAGTGCCCGTTTGTAATTAACCAATTTTGTGTACTTCAACAGTAAACAATGTGTGCATTTGAAGGCTAGAATTTGTTACAATACTAAAATTTCCAGTAACTTCAGTTAAAATTCACACTTGATAGATCAAGAAATTATCAGCTTTTAAGACTAAAAAGAACACCAAATTTATTTTGAGGGTATTCATAAAATTGATGAATATTTTGAATACAACTATTAACATTATCAATAAATATGTTTTTACCAGGAGTTTTGTGGATATTATAACAGTTTATGATAGTTGAGATCATGATCCAATTGAAGCCATCCAGTGCTTCCAAGTTTTCCATGGTGGTCTAGCTTCAATTAACTCATAATCTCAACTATTCAAATATATTTTTATTATATCATAATGATTAGAAAAAATATATTTCTGACGTCTTGTGACTTGATGTATACTACTTCTTCAGAGTAAATAAAACTGTTAACTCTATTTACATATTCTAATAAATTAAAATCATGTGTTCATAGTATTTTCTTAGTTTTTATACATTGGTCCATTCTAACTAATATAGTATGTTTGAGCAAATTTATGAGTTAATGTATCGTTAGATACATATGTGGTGCGTGCTACTTATATTGATCAGAAGATGGGGAAAGATCAAGAAAGGAAGAGCGGGAACACAATGCAATTTGTAAGAAAACGCATAAACAATGAAATGTGAGACAATGAATTGATGATTGCAACAGGAACAGTCCGGTTTGATATGATGGATTGATATTTTGCAAACTAATGATTTACTATATGGTTTTTCTATTTTACCAAGTAACTCTGTAATTTTGTGCTAAATACATTCGATTGTCCCCACCCGTGTTCTGCTCACTACACATACACCAGTGAGTTACGGCTTAAATTCACCACAAAAGTAATACATTGTAGTGATTAAAATTTTATTTATTGTCATTGTTATGATCTCCTTTCACTTTCTTATCATTAGGTGTTTAAGTTTAAATCTGACATAATGTTACCTTTTTTATTAATGTCTAAACAAACTTTTTCCATTCACCATTGATTTGATCACATTTTATTGATTTGTATATTATAGAACTAAGTTGTAAGATTATGACATAACTTTGTTATATGACGGAAGCACATGATAATGTACAATTTAACAGGCCTTTAGACAATTACGTTATAATATTATGGACATTACAATGAAACAATATACGTCAACAAATGAAAAAAAGTTTCACTCAAGCATACGGATATCATAAACGTTTTTAGATGGCAAATTAATCAATATATGTAAGGAAATTTTCTTCGTTCATCAACTATTACTATGCTCACATTTAAATTATTTCTCAAGAGATGAAAAATGAATTATTAACTTGGCATTATTTAAAATAATGGTATGAATCTCAGAAATAACATTAATTATAAGAGAAAAAGTGGTTAGTATTTTTTTGTGTGTATCTTTTATGAGCTTTTATGTAGCTTCTATGATCTATCTTTCTGTAGAATACGAGATTGTGTTGATCGATAAGTATTTCAAGATATTAAAAACAAACAAACTTAGATCATTGTGGAAATATAATTTGTAGTAGTTGGAAATAGGAATGAACAATCTCATTCAGTTTGTGAGCAAAAGTATAATTTTCAGGACTGATGGTTTTATATAAATTTTCATAAGCAAAATATCAACATAAACCAGCGAACCTTTGGCGATAATTCGGCTACAAATGAATATATGCTGCCAAATGTTATATATATATATGTATATATATATATATATATATGTATATATATATATATATATGTATATATATATATATATATATGCTATGTGGTCAGTAGTCGAATCTTCTAGAGGTCATCATTCCCCTTGAAATTATAGGTAAATATTACTAACGAGTGCCAAACAAAACGAAACCTGGGTTTTTGGTGTCCTCTTAGCTACTTTCAACTTCCACCTTGTATATACATATGCTGTACGAAGAGACACCAAATTAACTGGTTAATAGAAATCTGATAAATACTATCAAGATGTACACTTGAAAACACATTATGTAACAATAGGATCCTGTTGAGCCATGAATTTTTGTAGATAAAACTAAGTTATTATTAAATTGTTAGTAAACAAGCGAACATTCGTATATTAGTGTCTGAAAAAGATCGCACGGAGTCTCACAATAGGATGAAACAGCCGTCCAGTGCTTCCAGGTTTTCAGTGGTGGTCTAACATCAATCAGTTCGTGATCTCAATCAAAATATTATGTTTTTATTTCTTCCTTATTGCTATTTATCGTCAACTGAAGTCTCACAGTAAGTTTGTCTACGAATAGTTAGTTATCTGTAGAAAATGAATGATCCGACTATTTGAAGAAGATATATTTCAACCTATATATTTGTTTGAGCTAGTTGAAATATTCCTTGTTATCAGCTTATTCGTTTAAATTTAGTCTATACTCATTCATTCTATGGTTTATTAATGCCAACAGAAATTGATAGTATCTATGAAATTCAATCCATTCTAACACATTAGATTTTATTTTCAAAATATAATTAAATATATCTTATAGAAGTAGAATAATTGACAAAGTAAAATTACCTAGAAAACATCTCCACATGTTTCAGATTAGTAGACAATAATATGATCATCATTTGTGGGTTCCTATCATTTTAATATTATTGGTTAGGTTTATATGTCCCTATATCTATCCTTATATATATATATATATTTCTCTACCCAACAACACTTATGTCTATTTACAGATTGTTTCCCAATTGTAACTGTTTATAATTTTAAAAATCCTTTCAAGGTCATTGAACCAATTTCACGCATAGAAACCTCAATTCTTCTCATTTCAATACACTCACTATACTAGTTATCATTGTTATTATTATTATTTTGTATATGTTTTCTTCCCTTGATGCTTTATATAAAAGCATTATCATAAATTGGATTAACATTTTACATTGGCATAGACTAGGGTTTTTTTCTTCTTTCTATTTATATATTTACATGAGTTCATGGTGTATAACTTAGACTGACTTGTTTTTATTATTTTTCATTTTGTATACACATATTTCAGTTTTAAAAGGATTATACAAAGTTTTCATTGAATATACTATTTCTAAATGAATACCGGATGTTTATATGTACGTATGCATATACATACACATTTTTTTTTTAAAAAAAAGATGTTTTAAAGTCTGAATTACTAGACTAACTGCACAAATCAACACTTTGTTTCAGTATGCACAATAGGGGAACTTTCAAATGGTCTGTCTGTATAATAGTCAAATTGCATTAATACACAAATATATATGTATATATATGTATAATATGTGCCTTTATCGCTCACTATTCGAAGATTCTTTGACCACATATGATGGTTTATACTTTACAACTTATAATTTTCATCATGGATAGGTGCTTTGAATTAATGAATACATAATTTAACAAAAAGAAGAGAAACATATATATATTTCTTGAGTTAATCTGTATCTAATCACTACGATTGTTGTATATACTACAAGAATTACTTTATCATTATGGATTTCTATAAACATGAAATTGTGGATAATTAATATTATTAACCTCTTCTAAATCAAAATCCAACTATATCAAAGTTTACTGATTAAATAATGAATTATTTATACTGCCGTTACTATCAGTTAACGTTCATTTTATGTATTTTTCATTGGGTTTTACTATTATCAAGAAAATGTCTAGCGGTAGATGAAATTGAATTACGTCTTCGTATGCGTGAAGAAATTGCACCATCTACACGTATTGGTTCAGTTATATCAAGTTTACCCGTTAATTTACGATCACAAATGCATTTTTTAACTGATAGTACATTTTTTACAGTCACACCAACAAGTGGTGAAATACGTGTTGGACGTTTAATTGATAGAGAACGACTATGTCCAGAATTTAAACTTTGTTGTGGTGTGATTACATGTGAATTAAAAGCTAGTATTTTTGTAACAAATAAAGCTGCGGGAGAATTTGCCGCTAGTGTTTTATTGAAAGTGGAAATTCAAGATCAAAATGACAATAGACCAACATTCAATGCACAAAGTCAGACAGTTACTTTATCTGAAGCTACTGCTGTGGGTACATTAATAAGTATTAATGCAGCGACAGATGCAGATATTGACCCTGAAAATCAGATACAACGTTATACTCTTGTCGAACCTACAGGCACATTTAAACTAGATTTATCTGGACTCCCTACAGTTCGTTTAGAATTATCACGTCCACTTGATAGAGAACAAGTATCTGAATATAAGGCAAGCTTAGAAGCATGTGATCCTGGTGCATGTACACGACAAACACTAGAAATCCAAATTCTTGACGAAAATGACAATAGCCCACGTTTAGCAAACACCCGATTTAATAAACGATTAATTGAAAATATTCCAGTTGGTACTGTAGTATTACAACTGAACGCTACTGATATTGATTCAGGAGAAAGAGGCAGGGTTATGTACAGTTTTCATGGAAATATTGATTCCGATTTAACTGAAACATTTGAGCTTGTTCGAGATACCGGTGAAATTAAACTAAAAAGACCGTTAGCAGCAAATATACGTGATAGCTATGAATTTAAAATTATTGCATGTGATGCAGTAAATAGAGCATGCAGTGGAGATGAGAATTCAACTGCTGACATCACATTTACTGTAGAAGATGTGAATAATTTCCCACCATCAATTCATGCTGTGGCTGCAGGAGCAGCACTAGTTACTGGCTCAATCGATCAAAATAAAGGAATTGAGTCAAAAACAGGTGAATCAGATCATAACAATTTCAATGAACCGAAACCCGGTGACGAATTAAGTATCTTAGAGAATTCTCCACCGAGTCAAATAGCAGTTTTAACTGTTCGTGATGATGATACTGGTGATAATTCTAAAGTATCATGTTCGTTAAATGATACGAATAGTAACATATTATCAAACGGTGAAAAGACCACCCAAAATTTTATACTTACTCCTAGTACTCCAGGAATTTATTCATTACGTACTGCGAAGTATTTGATTATGAAAGTGAATCAACTGTACGTACAACAGTTGTTTGTCATGATTATGGTAAACCACAACAACTAACTTCGGCTAGAGTGATTACTGTACAAATTATTGATGTTAATGAATTTCAACCGGAATTTTCACGTCGTGTTTATGTTAGTCGAGTACCAGAAAATGCACCACCAGGAATGGATATTCTTACAACTACAGCATTAGATAGAGATAGAGCTGCTGTTTTAAGTTATAAATTTGCACCTACTTCAACATTATCATTTAATGAAGAGGGAAAAGATTTACATAAATCTGATAGTACACAAACAGACGATGGAGTTTATAAACATTTTATTATTGAATCACAAACTGGAATAATACGAACAAGTCAAGTAAGTCATTTCAAAACGTTTTTTAAAATTTTCTTAATAAAAAAGGATATTTCAATAGTTGAGATCATGAGTTAATTGAAGCTAGACCACTATGGAAAACCTGGAAGCACCGGATGTCTGTTTCGTCATATTGTGGGACTCTTCCGCGTGCGCGTCCACGACCCCATATCGCAGGATTTGAAACCAGGACATGTTACTCTCGCTCATGAACGCTCAACCACTAGACTACTGAGTTGGCCGGTATCCAACCCTGTTAATGTCTAACTTCAACTAATCTACAAAATTGAGCAACACAATCACCATTGTCATTAGTGAGTTACTATCTCACAACTGACCCGGTTGAACTCCACTGGTCACTGCTTCTCATTAGAACTTTAGGATATACCTCTTGAATCCAGTCACTATTGAGCATATGTTGATTCGTATTGTAGTAGTTTCAATAGTTCAGATCATGAGGATAATAAAATTGGTTATTCATTTTAACTATTTACAGATTATGTTTATGGGTTGGAATTTTGTTTACTAATAAAAAAGTGTATGAAAAATTAACAAAAAAAATGTTTTGACCTTAGTTTATTCAAATTTTTTCTCCTTTGGAACAGTTGATGTCTAATTTCCTCCTTTTAAAGATCCATTATTCTTGTTAAATTGTAGTTTTGTATATATATATATATATATGTGATCAAAATCTCTTTTTCTAATTTATAATGTTTGCCTAACAGAAACATCCACACTTATCTACAGTTTTGATAGGATTTCTTTGTTTTATATTCAGTTCTGAAAATGATCTGAGAATATTTATCAGATTTTAGCACATTATAGTACTTTTTTTTGTTATCTCTATTTATGTAGTCTGGATTGAAAATTCGTTGAGGATGATGATAGGTTGAATATTTTACAAACATATTTGTCCCTAAATTTGATCGGATAGTTTCACAGTATTTGAGCGCCGAGTTAATGTGAGACATTAAAGAGGAAGAATGTATTTGTAAAATCTCAGCGAATGAATTTGAAGTAAATCCAACGTTTCGCCTGGAAATATATTTCCATGAAAAAGCTTGGACCAGATTACCAGACAAAACATTGAATTTACTTCAAATTCATTCGCTGAGATTTTACAAATACATTCTCCCTCTTTAATATTCATCCCTATATGAAGAAAATACTATAAGAAATTAATTTAACAGCATTTAGAATTATTAGCTTCAGTAAAGAATGAAAATAATCATCGTTAATGAGTTAGGAAACTAGGACTGAAGAGAGTTAGTTCAGTGTTCTTTGATTTTCATTGGTTGTATCATTTAGTCAATCATAGAAAAATTGGAACCTAAACAAATATAATTTGATCGAACTAGCCCTACAATAAAAGTACAGTTTAAAAATTATTAAATTGAATACCAAAGTTCTATAAATAGTTATTGTATCAGCTTCAGAAAAAAAAAATCATAGATCATGTGTATTTACCAAATAAAAGATGTAATATAATTTCAAAACTTAAGATCTAGGGAATGACAAAAAGGGAATATTTCACAGATTGAAATCATGAGTCAATTGAACCTAGACTACCATGGAAAACCTGGAAGCACTGGACGGCCGTTTCGTCCTAGTATGGGACTCCTCAGCAGTGCGCATCTACGATACATCTTTTCCATTATGAGCGTTTATAAGCCACGTTATCAGTTTTTTTAAACGAAGTGGGCTTATAAATCAGAACTTTCGAAAGTTAAATTATTTTTGTAAATCTTCCATTTTCATCTTCGAGAAAGACTTGTTTATTTGCCATCTTTATAAAGGTTTAACTAAAGATTTCTTTATATCTTTGGTTTGCTGTGTAAGATTCTGATATTCTATTTGCAATAGTGATAAGGGTATGAAAATTAACCGTAGATATTCAATGGCATACTCTTAGATATTGTCGAAAATAAACTAATACGAATGGTCTATTGCATACTAAATACTTATTCTGAATTTCGAAAATAAAACAATGTAATGTACACTAAGTTTCAACCATAACACGATCTAATTTCATTGACTGCAACCTTAAAACAATTCTTTCTGAAATATTTCTTAAACCTGACGACTAAAGTATATCATTATACAATTAAATGAAGAAAAAAGTGAGTGGGATAATGCATTTAATCTTGTCCATCAAATATTTTTCATTACATTTTTTTTGTTTAACAGTAAGAAATAAATATGAAACTAAAAATGGTAGACTTAATACAATAATAGTTCTTATTACGAGAAATGTTTTACGGCCTTTAAAACAGTTTATACTTACCATTTGACCATCAAAATACTTTCATCAATAAAAAAACTTCAAACTTAACATCGTTAGGCAATGAATATTACACACCTACTTACGCCTGTTACCCCTCATGAAGGAGCACAGGCCGCTCACCAGCATTCTCTATCCACTTTGTCGTAGGCAATTCTTCCCAATTGTTTTCAGATACTATTAATCCTTTTAACATCTACCTTCAATTCTCGGTGCTGTGCGTTTTTCAGTTTTTCTCTTCTCCTTTGATCTTGAGGATTTCAACTGACGGACGCAGTTGGGTAATTTTCTCAATGTGTGTCCTATCCACTTCCAGCGCTTCTTCCTAATTTCTTCTTCCGTTGGGATCTGGTTTGTTCTCTCTCACAATAGATTGTTGCTGATAGTATCTGGCCAACAAATCCAAAGTATTTCGCGTAGAAAATAGTTAATCAATATTTGTACATTTCGATTATGGTTGTGATAGTTCTATTGGAATGATGTTAAATAAGTTTGGTATAACTTATATGATTAAAATATAAATATTTATTTTTACAGAATTTATATCTATTTGATAATTTTAAATAAATAGTATATTTCTAATATCCCGATGAGTAGAAAAATTAGATTTTCTGACGTTTCGTGGCTTAGTGTAAGTCACTTCTTCAGGGAATAACAATCTACCCAATGCTTAATTGATTCGAAATTATCAAATCAAACCTTGGTAATGATACCTATTTGATAATTTGCAATTTGTTTTTGATTTGAAATGTTTCAAGTTGCTTGAATTACATAATTCAAAAATGGAAATGAATTATTTCGAATATTTTATCATTCTATTTTAAAATTGATGAGTTACCTTATAAATAAATTGAAGAAAAACTAACACTCTTGCCCCGTTTCCAGTCTAGTTGACATTTTATTTTTATATATAAATGTTCTTAACAAGTATATGTGTGATCAGATTGTTCGAAATGTATTGCGCTAATATATCACATAGTTCTGATAATCTTCGTCTTCTAATTACATTATCGAAATAGTATAATTGTGTTTGTACAATCAACAAAATGAACTGAAAAGCTTGAATAATTGTCAAGGTACATTTTATCAGTTTTTAATGGGTATCGATAATATATCAACTTTCTAATACATATATATTACGTGGCCTCTTGTATGTAAATGTTATTTCGAATAATGTATCACTGTCTTTTCCAATATACGTTTATGAAATACCTTTATATTACAATTTCGTGCTAACACCTAAACAAACAAAATTTTAAAAAATATCTTACATTTTTTAAAGAAATATGGCACGTAAAATAGTTACTAATAAGATCTCTCTCAGATCGATTTCGTTGCGTTAAACTACTTAAACAGTATTCAAAAATGACACGTCTATAAGTATGTGTTTGTTTGGTTAAAGAATTACTTGTTGACATGTCAACACAAATTTCTCTGCACTGATTTTTACTTATATATTTATTTATTTAGCCTGTTACACCCCCCAACGGGGCATAGGTTGTCAACCACCATTCTTCAATCCACTCTGTCTTGGGCCTTCCTTTCTAATTCTCTCCAATTGTTGTTCATTCTTCCCATATCTGTCTCCATTGTACGGCGTAATGTATTCTTTGGTATTCTTCTTCTCCTTTGACCCTGAGGGTTCCAGGTGAGGGCTCAATTTGTGACACAATTGGGTGCTTTCCTCAATGTGTGTCTTATCCACTTCCAGCGCTTCTACCTGATTTCTTCCTCCATTAAGATCTGGTTTGTTCTCTCTCATAGTAGGTTGTTGTTTATAGTATCTGGCCAACGGATCCGAAGTATTTTGAGTAAACAAATGTTTATAAACACTTGTATCTTTTAGATAAAGGCTTTCGTAATTCTCCAAGTTCCCGCACTATACAATAGAACTGTCTTCATATTTGAGTAGATGTAAATGTTTCTTTTGTCTTTCAATTATACAGATGAATAATGTGACTAAGAAATACAACTGATTATAATTTCCTACTATGAATCCTTACTATTTCCATTCTACCTAATGTAATGTTCCGCAGTGAAAATATTTATTGCACAGAGATCGAAAAAGAAGAATGTCATTTCATATTGTACATGAATGATAACAGAAAACTAAATACGAAAAATAGACCAGATACATTTCAGAATTCGCATAGTAAAATTCAATTGTGTCAATGTTAATCACTTGATTTATTAGTCTCAACTCATTTCAACGAACTAAAAAATCTAGTCAATATTCTGTTGTACTTTCTATAATAGAAAATGTAACAGAAATTACACTTGACGTATTTTGTTCATTTTTTAGAGTAAAAATCTATTTTGTAAGATTACAATATACTTCCTTCTCCACTATAGCGTTAGATTAATTTACTGACATTGTCTGTTTCATATTCCTTATATATATACATATCAAATTTTTAAGGAAAATTACTAATATCTGGTTATTGATTTAATTCGACATTCTTATCATATTAGAATACAATTGGATAAGCGTGAAATACTAATTGTCTAAGAGTAATAGGTCAAGTGGAAAAAAATTTATCACAAATTTAAAGGTATTCGTTCCATATGCTACCGTTTAAATCAATCGATATGATAATACTAGAAACTTGACATGGTGATACACAAAATAATTTATACTATTTTCATGTAACTGGGTCAATTTTCACTTAAATGTAACATATTATTATCATTGTTGTCTGTTATTAGTTCCATTCGTTTTATA